AAGCAGTGGTATCAACGCAGAGTACTAAGATCGCCTGCTTCGTGGAACTTCCACCCAAGTGGTTGTAAGACACGCTGTTCGCGAATTTTATGTTCACTCGAAGGATCCTTAGGTGGAAATTCCACGAAGCAGGCGATCTTTACATTTCAGGCAAAACTCATGAGGACGTGATTTCGTAGGCCCGTAACTCGGCGATTGCTAAAAATTGAAGTCAGGTGCATGCACCGTTCAATAGCACGCTTTCTAGTGAATTCAACTTGTAGAGGCAAGCAAGCAGATTTTCCAAGAGGTGCTCGAAAAATGCAGGCGAATCTACGAAGTATCGCGGTTTGGCTAAAGTTCACTCACCATATCTCTGCTAGAAAACTCTGTACTTCGCTCAAAAGACGATTTTCGTAAACAGCGTGTTCGAAAACCTCTTTGAGCGAAGTTTCCTTACAATTCAAGATTATCGACATTTTGACCAAAATCCACCGGCGAGCGTCAGGGCGTAAACGAGAAAAAAATCAAATATCCGAATTTCTTCGAAAACTTGCTGATAGAGGTTATCTAACCTGCTGATTACGAAAATCACATTTGCTTGACAGGAGAGCTTCTCAATTTAGAGTTACGGTGGGCAAAATTTGAAACAACAAGATTTTTCCAGAATTCACCAGCCCTTCTATCTTTTTAGAAAAAGATACTTCAGTGGCTTTTCAGCGCTATATAATCTGCGGAAACAGTACAATCCAACAATACTTATTGGAACCTTTTATGTTTGATGTGCGCTGCGTTGCATCCTTGCGAATATACGCGCGCAGAAAATTTTGAAAAAATTGGGAACGGAATTTCAAGGACATGCTGTATACCAAAAGATTCGCCTCGACGAGCTGAACACAATGCTGCTTTCGGATTCCGAAGATGTTCATTCTAAAGGAAGTTACGGCCAGTAGAACTTGAAGCAGTTTGATTTTTCCAGAGTTTATTAGCTCTTCTATCTCTTTTGAAAGAGAGTCTTCGGCTGCCGTTTAGCGCAGGATAATCTACTTAAAGAGTACTATCGAACGGTGCAAACCGCAGTCTTCCATGTATGATGCTGATTGCGTTACACCCATACGAAAAGGCATCCGCATGCAAATTTGAGGTTTTTGAAAACAGGATATTGGAGACAATCTGTACAGCAAAAGATTCGTCTTAACGAGCTGAATACAATGCTGTTTTTGGATTTTGAATATACTCAATCGTAAAGAAGTTATGGCCCTGCGTAATTTGCGTGATTTACATGAATTTCGCGAAATTCCTGGAATGTCGCGAAATTCCTGGAATGTCGCGAAATTCCTGGAATGTCGCGAAATTCCTGGAATGTCGCGAAATTCCTGGAATGTCGCGAAATTCCTGGAATTCCCGGAATTCTGCGACATTCACGGAAATTTTGCACATTCTGTGAGCGGTATTGTATATCTAATCAGGGCAATTAGCCATTATAATACTTGTCAAAGAATTTGATCTTTGTGTCTGCTACGGAAGTCGGATTCAGATGGCAGAGATTTGAGTTCAGTAAAGCTCAAATTTTGTTGTAAACTCGCGGCCATCTCTCGATAATCGCTCTGCTGTGGCCGTATTCATTAACGAACCCTGAGTGTTAAACTAACCCTGGAGGGTAAAACTTACGTTATTCATCAGGGTTAATTCAACCCTAGCTTAGAGCAGGTTAACTCTACCATAACACTTCATACAAACGTTTACTCGCATCTAATAGTTTTATGAAAAACGATCAAAGAGTATTATAATGTTTAGTGTTAGTTGTTGTTATAGTATTTAGTTTCGACTTCGTTTTATGTTCAGATTCGAAGTACATGAAACACTGACTTCGCGAGAAAAAGAGTTCTAGCTTGGTGACAAATGAATGCGACGAGGAAAAATGGTTGCGCATTCCAGTCTGACAAGTGCCAAAACAGAAGAACCCCTTTATGATAACACGCATTGACCCTCAAAAGAGTAGCACAAGCCCGGTATAAAACGAACTGCGCAAAAGTAAAACTTACATGGCACAATTGCACACATGAAAATGAACTCACGCTGTAAGATTGGATGCTGCATAGATATGCTAGAGATGTATTATAAATACTACTGTTAGAAGCTTATTCGTTGGTGATACTACTATAACAGTGAAAGAATAGAGGTGTAAAGTGTAATTGAGTATAACTCAGCACGTACTTAGGCATTCTGTGATGTGAGTTTGCACAGCGCACGCGTGCAAACTCACATCACAGCTACATGACGCCTTAACCCTCCAGGGTTAGTTTAACCCTCAGGGTTCGTTGATGCGGCCACAGGTTCGTTGATCGATACGGGTGAATTGCGTTCCGTCGTATAAACCCTACCCTATGGTTGATGAATACGGCCAATGAACCCTGAGGGTTAAAGTAACAATGGGGTAAGTTTAACCCTCGGGGTTCGTTGATAAATACGACCACTGGTTTCTTTAACGTAACCATAAGCTACATTGAGTACTTCTCCGCTTAATATAGCGTGCTTGCGGTGCCGAGAAAATGCCGTAGAATCTAAAAAAGCGATCAGAATAATGTATAAGAGCGATAATGATGTATATCGTAGCGATCAGAATGATGTATAAGATCAAATGGTTCCGTTAAGAACTCGCTGGAGTTTAAGACCACAAGCAAAGCCATACAGTTTCTGCTGTTTTTCCTTTGCTAGTCTGCGCCTCCAGTTGTAGCGCGCTACCTCGCTACCGTCATTTCAAACTTACTCCCAGCCAATAGATATCACCTTGTAGCTCTTGACATCTACTTATGCGTTCGCAATACCGCAAAGCTTCACTTATCAGAACGAGAAAACTCTAGAAATAATTTTCTTTGTCCTTTCATTTTCGCTTCAATTTAGCTCTTTCCATGTTGATTTTTCGTAGATAGATCTTGCGTTTGTCTTTGACACAGACAAGGTCACCGAGCTTACTCTTCCTTTCAGAAATGCTTCCTTTCAAAACTTTTCTTGGAGGGAGCACGCAACCATTTCGTTTTTTTCTTCAAAGTTCTTTATCGATTGAGCACTCAACCATTTTCTCATATTTAGGGAGTTTTCTTAGTTTGGGAACGAGTCCAAACGATATTCACTTTTGGGGCACATCTGGAAACTATCGTAGGTATGCAATTAATTTTTGAGGGAAAGCAAAGCTTTTTATACAAGAGAGCTATTACACATCAAACGCTCGATATATCATTTTTGACCCTACATAGCTGGGTGGTCCTTAGGAAGCTCTCCTGGCTAGAAAATCAACTTCAAGCCTGATGTGGTGCACTTTATGCATCAGAACATATAATCAGAAGCATTTATTTCTTTCAAAGTTCGCAATACAATCACTGCATTCCTCAGTTTTGCTGAACTGATCTCTTTTTTCTTGCCAGTCCATCCGTTAGATCTTCGTTGTGCAACATGTACGGTATGTCTTTGAAAAAATGTCGAGAAACTGTAACAAAAGGCAGTAAATGAAGTATCAAACCGCGTGGAAATGTATCTACCTGCAGCGCGCATAGGATGATGTTTGATGACCGTAATCCTTTCGCGCTTCACAATTTTTGGCGTTCTGTGTATGACGGAACCGCTTTCAAATGACGGTCCTAGCGGATCGGCCATCATATCATCGTTTTCCTCATCCACAGCTCTCCATGGGTCATCAAAAGCAAGCGCTGCTACAAGGAATGGGGACTTCTCATGGAGGTTCAAAAATTTACTTCTGCTTTCTAGAATGGAGCTCACCTTGCACAGTAAGAATGAAGAACAAGGCAATCAAGGCAGTCATATGGTGCAGACACAAGTGTTACAATGTTTATATGAGCTTTTTCTCCATAAAAGTGTCATATTTTTGATTCTACGACTTTGAATATGACCGTAAAAGAGGAAGATGGGTGAAGTAACACATTTGACTGCACCATCTTTCACAACTATGAATAAATATAGCCGTAATATTTTGCGCTAGTATAGCTCGTAAAAGCTATGTTCCAAAGCACATTAGGCATATAACTACGGTGATATCGTCTATCTGCATTATCCATACAAAGGAAATGATGGTATTATTGCTATGTTCCGTGCCAGAGTCGACAATTCTTTCTGTTTATGTATCTTTCAGCGATAAACTACGTAAGAAAAATTCCCTCTACTTCAGTGATAGGTATATGATATGCTCGTTATTACCTTGAATTAGCAAGGTAAGCCTCCCAGCAGGTCCCACCCTGATTCATAAGTTCACCTCACGGATAAGTGTGCTTGTAGATGATAGTAAATTTTGGAAAATTCAAGAATTCTCATCGAATGAATGAATATGAAATGAAAACACTAAAATTTCGTATAAACGAATACCGAGTAATTATCGGAATATATTAGGTTGTCCCAAAAGTTCTTGCGTCGCATTTTCAAAAAATCATAACATACTTGCCACTCGATGATTTTCTTAGTTTGACTTTCATTTGAAAGAGGAAACCTTTCTCTTTACAGCGGTACCTTTGGCATGAATTGCTATTAGAAAGTTTGAGAGCTAGAAGCAATCAAAGGATATTTAAATTATACATTTTTAAGCTGGATCACAAAAAATTCTGGAAGTATTTTTATTTGATAGAGAAAATTTTGCATATTACAGTGGTACCTTTTTCATAAATTCGAACGAAAAAGTTCGAGAGTTAGAAGCAGATAAAGAAAATTTATCTAGTTTTGCAATTTTTGAGTATGCTCAAAAGAGCCTAGACACGTCACAGAAAAGAAGGAAAGTCACGAACATGGGCTTTGATACCAAAAATCGTGCTAATCGAGAGTATTTGATTTCCGTAATATTTCCGGATTTTCGTCCGAAGTCTGCGTTTTTCACGAAAATCAAAATTGCTCTCGATTGGCGCAATTCCTGCTCAGTTAGAAAGAGAAGGTTACAAAACCCATGCTCTTGACTTTTACGTCTGTTCTGTGACGTTTCTAAGCTTTTTTGAGCATGCTTAAAGATTGCAAAACCAAAAAAATTCTCTTTATTTCCTCCTAACTTTCGATCTTTCTCGTTTTAATTCATGAAAACGGATTGTAGCAAAAAGCATAATTTCTTCTATCAAATGAGATTACTTCAGAATTTTTTGTGGTCGGCTTAAATGCCTATTTTTAATATTTTTATTCAATTGCTTTTAGCTCTCGAACTTTCCAGTACCAATTCATGCCAAAGGTAACGCTGTAAAAGAGGAAAGTTTTCTCTTTCAAATGAAAGTCAAATAAGAAAATCTATCGAGTGGCAAGGAAGTTATGATTTTTAGAAAATGCGGCGAGAACATTTGTGACAACCTAATATAAATATCAAAAATCTCAATTTTCAAATTCCAGAATTCGAAAATTGAGATTTTCGAATAAAATTCGAATCAAAAAATCGATGATTTTATTCGAACTTGAGGGTAGAGTATGGATCAAATATTTGAATGATTACTCAAGTGGCTAGTTATTCGGATAAAATCGTTCAATTAGGTCGATGTGGTATACTGAACTCGATTACGAATTCGAATGAATTTTGAAACATTCGAATATATAATAGTATATATCAAAATCCGGTTTCCGATAATCGAGGTTTCAAATTCTATTCGAATATGGAAATGTCTGGTTCCATACGAACGCTATTACTCGATTGCGACCACAGTTTAATAGGCAGGATCCCTGACTACACGAAAGCGTTGTAGAGGTCCCATGTCTTCTCTATCATGTTTGACTGTAAGAGCCAGCTTGTTTCAGAGCTTGGTACATATCGCGATTGATCTCGTGCAGCGTCCACTTACAACATACTTTCTTATTACTATGAAGCGTTCAAATCACTTCCATGGCTTGTAGCAACTGTGTCCAGCCTTAGTGGTAGATACTGTGCCATTATGGGTCGGTCGAATTTCCGAGTATACCGGTCCCCATTATTCCACTACCGTTTGAATCATTTTGCGCAAAATTCTGCCCTGTTAAAAGTTTACTCAGGTTCGTGAGTTTTTATAGCATCAAATAATTTTTAATCTGGAATAAGCTACCTTGCCTCCGCTGTATAGAAGCTATAGCTTTCTATAGCCTTTCAAATCTTTGATAGAATGATAGCGTAATCGAGTTTGCAAGATCATGACTTATAATAACGTGCTAAGGGTTGTTTACGTCTTTTTGTGTGTCTGTGTGTCTGTCGGTTACGAAATTCGTAGAACATGTTCCAGCCAACCTTCTGAGCCCAAATTTTGCACGGCGCATGCTAGCAGCATGAAAGTCCAATATACAAAAGCGCGAGCAAATCCGTCGAGTGGATCCGTTAAAAATTGCGCGCCAAACGGGTCCACCTGGCTTCTGTACCGCAAAATTCGGTCCGTATCACCACTTTTTGCAGAGTCGTGGATGAGTTTGGTAAGCAAATGTGCAAGCGATGGAGTTTAGCCAGAAAAAGTGGTCGAAAGTTTACTACATAACGAAAACGGCGCCAAAATGAATTGGTTGTGTAAATGGTCAACTTGCCAAGGTTCTAGCCAAGCGTTTGAGAAGATTTTCGCACAGAGATGTAGCTCACAGTTATCATTACCTTTATGGCGACTATCAAGCCATGACAAATCCAAAAACCTATTCAAATTTGCGTTTGTCTTCCTGCGAAAAGTTTCACGCACTCGAAATCACCGATCTCACGTGAAAAGACTTTCTAAATGAGTGGTTGTTTACATTTTATTCGTGGTAGTCGGCACAGCGCGGTGAGTTCCAGTGCCACGATTTTACGAGAATGAGTAAGGCACATAGATAGTAGAGCCAGTGCGAACCTACAGAGGTGACGCACTGGTATATCTATATCTCATTTTTCCATGTTTAACTTGCATTTACAGTCAGTCTGTTCTATCACCAAGCATACACTAAGGTCGAACGTTCTCTTCATATGATTCAGAATAAAGTGATCTGCAACGATTCTGCAATTCAGGACTACTTCTACGTAGTTACAAACCTTCTGTGAGTGTTGGAGATTTTAACCCGGTAGGCATAAGTATGCTATAATTTGCAGTAAGATTAATCGTTTAGGTTGAGCTGTTGCAATATGGATGAATATCGAAAATGAACATTTCATGGACTGTCTCGCACTTCCGTTTTCGTGTCAATTGCAATGGGAAAATTTGACTTTTGATCATGTGCGAAATTTACAGTAGTCTTTCATGCTATGGGCCGTGGGCCTTCGTCTGGAATAGCAACCAAAGGGGCTTCTAGTATAAGAGAACCTTTCAAGGAGATTGTGGTTTTGTTCTCGACTTTATGTAGGGCTCTGCGTGATCGCGAGAATCAGTGAGTTGTGGTCATTGTACACGCAGGATTCCACAAAGTCTCAAATCACTGCACAACCAGGGCCCAGTACAGATGGTTTGGGGTCAAACTAGACTTCGTTTTGCGGTTAGAAGCAACGGGGATATCGTTTTTATAAGGCTCTGGTCGAATCACCGAAAAAAAAGACAAACATGTCAGGTTTTACGAGTTGAACGTGTTTTTTGGCAAGCGAATTTCAAAAGCAAGACTCAAACAAACAAATGGCTTGTTCACAGCGCACAAACAATCACATGGCTCCTAATTTGGGCTATGTGCATACAATTTTACTCCAAACTATGTTATGTAAAAAATTTCAAAAACTTATGTGTCCTAATATCCGTTCGAATTTGTTGGTTTCTAGACCACCACCAAACCAACTGGGTTGCTTCGGAACATAAATATCGGAGAGTTCACATAAGTTTTGGACCTTTTTGATTTGGACGATTAGAACGCCAAAAATCTATTATATAGTGAAAAGAGCAAATAAAACCATTGCCTCTCCTCTTTTTTAAGCCAAAAGTAGTGCAATTCTAACGTTGAGGGATATCGCGCTCCAATCACATGCGGTGTCCTTTGAACTATGTGGCGAAAAATGCATCGCCGGATTGTTGAGGCCACAGATTTGGTTGGTCTAGGAGGTTTTCGACATTCTGAGCACTAAAATGGTAGCATACCCAATGAGAGAGCCTTTATTCGATTCGAAATGTTCTCTTTTCGCTTATTTGTTGTATTAGATAACTCAAAAACGTTTTTTCGCTTTTTATTGTTATTTTGGATGAATAAGGGTTCCAATTGATTTTGACGTCAAGAGGGACTTCGTAAATTTTCGCGAAATCATGGGGGACTTCGTTTCCAAAAAAGCTCCAAACGAACGCGTGCAGGGCCCTGTGCACAACCCTCCACTTTTTGAAAATACTAGCTGGCTTACCCGGCTCCGCCGTATGTTCCGAATAGAAAATTCCATTTCTTAACCGATCCGGACCAAACTTGGCACACATACCCTTCGGGCCCCGGCGGGTGTCACAGTCCACTTTTCGTTATCGATCGATGTCGATTTTATCGATTTTTTGCAAAATTTGAGCTACGGGGCTGGGAGTTGGCAGAGGGGTGTAATCGAGCATGCTGATCACCCCCACGGGGGTGATCAGCAGATCAGCATCTCGATTACCCCCCTGTGCCAAATCCCAGCCCCATAGCTCAAACTTTGCAAAAAATCGATAAAATCGATAAAAGTAATGCACGATTTTAAAACTAATATTGTATTCGGAATCCCCATGCTCACTTACCCCCCTCTGCCAACTCCCATCCCCGTAGCTCAAATTTTGCAAAAAAATCGATATCGATCGATGACGAAAAGTAGCCTATGACACCCGCCGGGGCCCGAAGTGTATGTGTGCCAAGTTTTGGTCCCGATCGGTTCAGAAATGGAATTTTCTATTCGGAACATACGTACACACAGACAGACATACAGACAGACAGACATACATACATACATACATACAAACAGACATTCAGCTTTATATATAAGATTTCAGCTAAGTGAAAGCTAACATTTGATAGCAGGAAAGCGTTTGAAAGAGGTAAGATAATTGACTAAATTTAATGCTTGTGCATTAGTCGCAACACTCCGACTCTCGCGATCACGAATCGTCTATTCTATGACGAGACGTGTGACCGCATTGCGGACATTGTCTTAACACGTTTGAGTTCAGTCTTCCCTGTTTTCAAAGAGTGAATAAACCTCGACGAGATAAATGACAAGTACACACCTGCTAAGTACACGATTAAGCTTGTTTAGACAATGTGTGCAATGCGATTTCGCGTCTCCTAGTCATAGAATTGGTGATACATCTTATTAACGACGCGGTTCTTGCAACTTGTAGAGAGCATGCTCTGGCTCTGGCTCAAGTTTCCAAAATCGAATAGCTTGCATGAGTGATGGAGACGTATGGAAAACAATTTCTGACATTGATCTTCCGTGAGTGCTCTGCGAGAACACCTAAGTGCGTAATCGTTTGTGTAATGTTCCGCTTTGGCTCTGCTTGGCGCAAGAAGAACAATGACAGCATTTCGGCAGACGACCTGCGGAGATTACGCAGCACATGCAAGAGCTCCCAACATTTTCAACATCAATTATCCCCAATTTGAAATGCACTACGATTTCACAGCGACACTGTGCAGCAATCACCTGGACTTCGGAGAGTACATTCCAACAACTTTATGCAAGCTCAAATGACTACACGGATAGAATTTTCAAAGAGAACAAATCGCATTCTCCCTGATCAATTTAGTAGAAAACCAAGATTCGCATCTTCTGATTGTTCAGCAACCTGCTGTGCTGGCGGTGCATCTTCATGTCCCAATGCAGGAGGTATAGTTTCTTTAACTGATGACGATTGGGGATCTGGATTCGGTGGGCACTCGAGGGCGCAATTGTTTGGTGGGCATGCGAGGGCGCAGTCGCAATGGTCAGAAGTAGTTCCAGCTTCCTGAGAGTTCTGAAGGTCCGCTTCGCGTTTGCCTGTAGATGCTCATATCAGACTTCATCACTAATATTACTATTATATTATATTCATCACTAATACATAGAACTTAAAGATAATTGCTGACCTAGCTTAGCGGCTACAGCCGAAGAAATCAGTAGAGAAGAGAAAAGGAAGACTAGTGAAGACCTCATGGTGCTGCTGTAAAGGCAGTTACAGAAGTATAAATAGCAATTCCCCACTAAAAGTACTACTGTACTATCGATATATCCTGATAAGTAGACTGTTACGCTAAGATTATCTTACAGAATAGAGATAATCTCTCCAAGAGGACAAGGTGATGAAAGAGTCCATCTCATTGTTTGGGGATTGTACCTGAGATCTGCAATGACCTTCCGTTTTATGAGTACAGGATAACAGTGTCCTTACAGGCGCGGATTGTTACAAAATAGGCAAAAATTAAGTTGCTTGAGAGCCGTGTCTAGCTAACTTCGAGGATTTCTGTAAAATACAATACCCGGTACCAAGAAAAATGGCTTGTTTGCAACGCGAGAATGACGATATGGCACGAAACTTGGTATGTATACGCGCAGTAGGACCAGGCGACAAAGTATGAAAAACTTTGGAAAATTTATGTGAATAGGGAACGTGCCCAACTTTTTTCCCCGGATTAGATGATCACTTTCTCACCTAATGCCCACCTGAAGTAGGCAAAACTTCCACTTTAAGTTTCTCAAGTCTACATAAATCTGTTTTACATCTAAAATTGGCCACATAATAACATTTTGGTTACAAAACTCTTCCTCTCCGCTTCGCTAGACTCCGAATTAGCAAACGAGTCGCGGTGTTATAGGAAGAAAACGCGCTCTAATCGAACAACCTGCGCAGTCACTGCACCAAGGAGGGAAATCGTAAATTTGAAGTGGCAAAGAAGTAATTGTTTCACAGGGGTCCGTTTGTCACCCGTGCCAGGCTCTGATGCTACATAGGTGGTTCCTCATTTTTCTACAGGGGGTGGAAGTCTCATCAAAAAAATGTTAAAAATAGTTTCCTTTCGGGTACTAAGTTTTTCATCATAGTTAGTATGTTCTGATGCAGAGACGAGTTGTTTATTACATAAGTTGATTAGAATTATATTTAGAAAAAGTACTCCTTGCCTCATGTGAATTTTGAGCAAATGATAGAACGCTTAAATAAGCCATTCACTTCACATCATCTAATGATGACTTTCGAATAGTGCTTTCTTTTTGGGAGCTGGCATGTTTTGTGAAATAAACCAAAGTCCGTCCTTTCTCCAACTACGATTTCATAGACTGCCTTTTCTTTGCTCTCACCTGTCTGTGTCTGACAATGCTATAAAGTTTGGAATTTATTGAATCTGCAATCTCGCCTTACAACAGTTTACTAACACAGGACCAACAACAATCTATAACAATGTCCAGATTCGAATTCTGCAGATTCAGTAGTGTACAGAAATGTTTCAAAACTTTTGCAATTTCGACAAAGCCCGTGTCAAAGTATATCCTTCTTTATAAAGCTGAGTGTAACATCGACTCTAAAAATCGTGACGACGGTCTGCAGTGCGGCCAGTGCGCGCCGCACGGCACTGCCACCTAGTGATTCGCCCAAATTACGTGGAGAAGGTGAGTTCTTGTGGTTTTTCTTTTTCTTTTTGCATCTTTTTTGCTTGCAGGAACTTTCATGGCTACCGCAGGGAGCCTACACTGCAGAGAAGCAAGATTGCCCTACGATAAAGCGGCAGTGCCGTGCGGCGCGCACTGGCCGCACTGCAGACCGTCGTCACGATTTTTAGAGTAGACGATATGTTTGTCTTAGGGCCGCATGCACTAACCTCCCCGCTGGGGAAGGGATTGCAGCTTAAAAGAAAGCTTCATATTCTGAAGCTCCAGATGTCTGGACTTCACGTTGTGTACCTATCCGTAAGTATTCCTACTACCCTTCACTATGAACATGTTGAAGAGGAGCGAAAAGCTGTACGAACCGCATTTTCCAGCTTTTGTATGATCCCTGATGATCCCCGGCGCTTTTCTTTGAAGTCATTTTTCTTTCTCCGAAGTTAACGAAAACCTTCCAAAGTTGTAGTGAATATCTAACAACAGTGCTAAGCATGTTGCTGATGAGAACAAATGAGTTTTTGAAAAGTCGAATTTTTCGGTAAACCTCAAATTTCGGCCTGTGGAACATCGAAAATTTCATGACTTCAAAACATCATTTGTTCTTATCAGCAACATGCTTAGCACTGTCGGTTTAGATAATCTGCACAACTTTGGAGGTTTTTCGTTTACTTCGGAGAAAGAAAAATGACTTTAAAGAAAAGCGCCGGGGATCATCAGGGATCATACAGAAGCTAGAAAATGCGGCTCGTACAGCTTGTCGCTCCTCTTCAACACGTTCATAGTGAAGGGTAGTAGGAATACTCACGGATAGGTACACAAAGTGAAATCCAGGTGTCTTGAGTTGCGAAATATAAAGCTTTCTTTTAAGCTGCGATCCACTCCCTGCGGGGATGTTAGTGCATGCGGCCCTTAATGTCTGTGTGTCTGTATGTCTGTCTGTATGTATGTACGTATGTTCCGAGTAGAGAATTTTATTTCTGAACTGATCCGAACCAAGCTTGGCACACACACATACACTTCGTGGCGGGGAGCGTATCAAAGGCTACTTTTCGTCATCGATCGATATCGATTTTTATCGATTTTTTGCAAAGTTTGAGCTACGGAGCTGCGAGTTGGCCCAGAAGGGTAAGTGAGCATGGTGATGACAAAAACATTATTAGTCCTCTAAAACCATTTATTAGTTTATTGATTTCATCGATTTTTTGCAAGGTTTGAGCTGCGCGGCTGGAATTGGCACAGGCGGGTAGGCGGGCATGCTGATTACGAATGCGGTATCATTTCTCAAAATCGTCAATTATCTATCGATTTTATCAGTTTTCTGCAAAGTTCGAGTTACGGGGCTGGAAATTGGCCCGGGGGGGGGGGGAATCAGTATGCTGATTAGCAACACAACGGGAATAGGGAATTGGTATGTAGATGTAGCTTGTACAGGGATAGGAATGGGGCCTTTATCACTGTGTGACAGGGCCGGGCGGTGCTGGGTAAGCCAGATAGTAACGTATGATAGGTGTAGAAAGCGTCCGAATCTAGAAATAGAGCAGCTTGACTTTAAAGTTAATCAGTCGTTCAAATATACACTTTATTAAAAAAAACATCCGAGCTTGTGCAGAACATCCCAAATATAAAGCAAGGTTTTCTTTGTCAAGGCACTTCGACAATACTTTCAGCATGATATGCTCTTGGCCCAGCGGCTAGCGACTGCCCATTTGGTGACGGTGATGTTGTGGGCTCTAAGTTCGAACAAATATTGAACTTATAATATTATATAAACAATTCACCTTCGTTTACAATTATCATCCCGCATAGAGGGCAGGCGTCGTTGTATTAGGGCGCTCGTCTTGAGATTGAAGAGCCGATCTTATTTCGCGTTTGCCTGCAACTAATGGTTTGAAAAATGTTCTTGATGTTATGAAAATTTCAAAAAGTTGCGACCCGACCTATAGAAGCTGCCATACTCGAAGAAACCAGTAGAATGAAGACAACGAAGCTGAATGAGATTCTCATCTTCCTGACGTTAGTGTGGCTCCGCTGACTCCGCTGCGAATCCTATCAAAACCCAACATTTCATATGAGTGTTTACAAGTACACAATCATAAAATTAGAATTATTGTTCAAAATCATTGTTTGCTGACTGAATGTAGTACTTGAAGAACAAAGAAAGTCTCTGTACAACTGGATTTACTTCATGATTTATCTGGGCTAAGTTAGGGATTATCCCATTGTTTTGGATTATGCATCTATTCTGCACTGAAGCTGTCCTGGTACAGAAGAGGGAAGTGTAATGTTTTCAATTTTCACTGATTATTATCGCGTGCAATTGTATTACTTCATGGTACAAGTTGGCTGTTTTGAAGTGTCCTGCACTTTTCATAACGATTTCTTATTCTGTACATGGATAAGAAAGGTGAATTTGGAGGGAGCCAATAGAATCGTGTGTGCTTGAATGAAGTTAAGACCAGGACTCGGCACGAGGTGGCTAGTTGAAAATGCAAAAAACGAGTCCCCCTTGACTTTTGCAAATTTTACGAAGTTCCCTTTGACCCTAGACCATAATCCCTAAAAACCCTCAAAGTACGAAACGTCGACTAAAATTACGTCGTCGCTATTTTTGTGTCTTTACGGTCTCAAAACTGGAACCCCTTTGTTTTTTGTCCCAAAGACGATATCCAGCTTGCTTAAAAGCCACCTCTGCCGAGCCCTGGTTGAGAGGATAGATGTACAATGAAAATAATTTTGAAGTACCTTTTATTATATCAAAGTTTATGAGGAAATATTAGGTTGGTGCAAAAGTAATCCTCGTTTTGCGATTTCTCTCACTTTGACGTGCTACAACTTTCTAGAAAAATCTACATTTTCCAATGCGATAAATCATCATAAACAGCAAATCTTTCGCTATACAGTGCACATCCATTTTTACTCATAATGACAGAAAATACGGATTGATAAACAAAAAGTTTTTTTTTTCTGAGATCTCTTTTCTAACTGATCATAACTCTCAAACTCAAAATTTCATACTAAGAATGATAAGTGGTTTATTTTGTAGCCAAGCGATTAGTAAAAGAAGGATGAAGACTCGAACGAAGAAAATTTGCGAAAAAAGAGAAAATCAAAATTCAAAACTGTCCGCTTTTTTCGGCATTTTTGGGCCTCAAAGTCCCAAATTATGGACCTTTTCAATTTTCCGCTAACTGAATAGATAAACATTTTTGCAAAGACGTTCAATAGGAGGCTCACTCTTACGCTTACACAAACGAGCTTTGATGGTTGCCTTTTTCAAAGGAAATTATGGGCTACAGAATCACAAAACGGCTACTCAAATTGAGGCGCCAAAATCTCATTCTAGTCAATTTTCAAGAAAATTGTAAAGTGTGCATAATGTAGACAATTTCTAATACATGAATAGCTGAGAATGCCTCCATTCGCGCTTGAATTCTGGGCAGAAAAGTAAATGCAATAAAATTATGGTTTCGAGTGCAATTCTTTGAAGCTCTACAAATTTTTGATCAAGCTAAAAGCTCATTTAGATAACCATTGTATAGAGGAGAAGATCTCGATAGTTTGCTAATTTTTTCTGAAGAAAAACGTTTGATAAAAAAGTTGTCTTGAAACAAGGGCTAAAAGCGCATTATTTTTGCATTAATTTAATAAATAAGAATATTTTGTTATAGCAGAAATGTTGTGGAGTCAACAAGATAAACCCAATTATTTGCTGAGATACTAAACCTGGCAGTTGCTCCTCTGATACTTCAATTTGTTTGGTCACATCTCAATCGAGCATCTTCTGTTTTCTTTAGGTTTATTGCAGTGTAATAAGCTTGAACTCAGATAACATGACTAATCCTCAATAAAAAATCTCCAAACAATTTTGATGCAGCAAGAATAAGAACAATTTGATGCCTTGGATGTGTTTCATTAGTATCTTCTCCATGCCTGCCAATCTTTTGCCGACCGAGTGTTTTCCGCCTTATCTTCTGGCACATTTTCATCATCTGAACTGAGAGTGTATTACAAAAGCAGCGTGATAAGTTGTGTGTGCTTGCCTTCACCGACGAATAGTTCTTCTGCATCAGGGCAAGACACTGAGTCGTCAGGGTCATAGTTGTAATCATCATAATCTTCGGTCTCACTCAAACTGTTTCTGAAGCCTGCCCCAAATTTACCTGCAATTCGCACTGATTAGAAAATCGCTCAAAAACAATACCAAATGTACCGACCGATACTTCTACACATGCTGGAGTACATTAGCATCGCAAAAATAAGAACAAACAGTGCAGTTCTCATACCTAATGCTTGCGGAAGCACTCTAGTCATGCTTTTATATGGTGACTTCAATAGCTGCACTTAAAAAAATCATTCAAATGTCTTGATGACATAGCTGCAGTTATTGACCCTTTGCGGTGAATCGTTTAGGATCTGCTACAAATCACAAAGACTTTATATTGTTAGAGGAAATCCAAAGCTTTTTCGATGACGAATTTATTCGCTAGTGAATACTTCACCGTTTACGAGCTATGAGTGGTCAGAGTTGTGCAAATATTAAGCATAGCTCCTGCAAAAAAATCTGGCAAACGTATTAGCAGATATGCCAGTTGCAAAAATTCTTTCAACACAACGGTACTTAATTAGTAAATCAGCGCATTCATTTAGCGTGAGATAAGAGCTCATACTCTTCCGCTGCCAAACTATTTGGTTGATGCATAATTCTTGCGCCAGATTTTTTTCTAATTTCCTTCTTTCTCCAGCTCCAATGAGTCTTCTGGTTTGGTACATGATAAAGAGAAGAAATCTTGCGCTTTTCGCTTATGAATTAAAATTCATTGATGGCTTATGGCAACTAAAGAATAGCAAATGCCCAAAAAGTGATTATTTGAATATTCTATACGTTCTTTGATCATGAAATCAGGGCATTGTACAAATACATGAGATATGTTGTTGAGAAGAGCGTTTTGACGTAAGGGTGAAAAACAAATGCGAGGTTTTCTTTCAGGTCTCTGAGGAAGGTATTTTTGCCGAAACGTTAGACCGAGAACCTAGACCTGCGTAGCTCACAACATATCTCATAATTTTTCGGATTTTTGCCGCTGAAATTGCTAACATCTGTGAAATTTGAATTTATTGATTTATTCTTTTTCACTAAAACAAACTGGTAGTGATCAGATGTCTCTACCATTAGTTATGTCTCGATTTCTTTAATTCGACTTATCGATTTTGTTTGAAATTGATTTTCGAATATGTAGTATAAAATACTACTTTTGATATATTAGGTTGGTGCAAAAGTGATGTGCGTTTTGCGAGTTCTCACTTTGACGTGCTATAACTTTTTGAAAAATCAATATTTTTCAGTGCGGCAAAATTCATCAGAGGCACCAAACCTCTCTCTATACAGCACACATTGATTTATGTTATCATCGCAAATCAGTGGAAAAATATGGATTGATAAGCAAAAAAAATTTTTTTCGGAAACCTCGTATTTAACTGATCATAACTTCCTTCAAGATTTGTCGGAATAAATGAGAAGTTGACTGTCTTGTAGCCGCAAGCCAGTAGTACAAAAAATTGCAAAAGGGCTCAAATAAAGAATATTTGCGAAAAGGAAGAAAATAATATTCAAAATAGTCCGCTTTCTTCGACATTTTTTCCCTCAAAATTCAAATCACAAATCAAATATGGAGATTTCTGAATTTCTGTGTCCTGAACAGCTTCCACATTTCTGCAAAACCTGTCAACAGGAGGCCCACCCTTATGCTTACAGAAATGAGCAGAACTTTGGCGATTGCCCTCCTCAAAGGAAATCTACGGGCCACAAAATGTCCAAAACTATCACTCATGTTGAGGCGCCGAGATCTCAATCTAAGTATTTTCTAGGAAAACGATAAAGAGTGCATAACGTAGAAAATTTCCACTACATACAGTAATCAAATTTTCAAAAGAATGCCTTTACTCGCGCTTGAATTCTGGCCCTTTAAACAAGTGCAATGAAATTCTGGTTTTGAGTGCGGTTGTATGAAGCTCTATAAATTCTTAACGAATGAGGCTAGAAACTTCTTTCAACCACCATTGAATAGAGCATAAAAAAAGCTTCTTAACAGTTTGCTGGTAAGTTTCATAGGAGAAACTTCGATGGAGATAAGCTTACTTGAAAGAAGGGCTAGCAAAACGCGCATTACTTTTGCACCAACCTAATATATAATATATATCAAAGAGTATGTATTGGTTAGTTTTTTTGAGAATTTTTTGAACGAATTTTTCTATTTTTTGGTGTAAGATTTGTGCGTCATCCTGACATCTAGAGAGTGTACAAGAAATTAGTGCCGCATGCATTACTCCTCTTCGATGACTGAGGCATGGCTCGGCACGAGATGGTTCCGAATATGCAAAGAACAAGGTCCCTTTTATCTTTCGCAAAATTTTACGAAGTCCTCCCAAAACTGGAAATGTCGACAAAAAACCTAAGCTAACTTGTGTTTTTTCAGACCGCAAAAACGATATTCCTTTTGCTTTTTGTCCCAAACATCCCAAAAGCGATATCCAAAGTGCTTATAAGTCACCTGTGCCGAGACTAAGGGCAGCGATTTTATACACGTTAAGGCTCTTCCTCTGCATCATTTGCTAGACTTCTGCATTACTACCCTAATTTCACGCGTATAAGGCGCACTTTTTCGAATTTTCAAGCAAGCCGCTAGCCGCTTCACTTTATTTCGGAAAGAAATCCTTACATCGCACGATTCTGTAAAGCAATAGACAGCAGTTATAGGGTCTTTTGGCAGTAAAGTTCTTTGGTCCTTGTCAGAACTATTGTCGCACTCCGCACCGTACAACCTTTGCGCGTTATTTAAATTCTCTTCCACTGATGGTCTGCCATGAATATGGCAATCGTATCTTTAGAAACGGTCAATGAAATACCAGAACTGTAAAATTACGAGAATTACGTTAAATGTCAGAATCTGTTATAATGTAGTAAGTTCCAAGCTACTTTCCATTTGAGCATATTCTTTGCAAACTTTTATTGCATATGTATAGGCTCCAGTGCAATTTTCGTTGGCATAAATTGGTATACATAGAACGAAAGGTAGCAGTTAAACATTAAGAAAGGAAGGAATATTGATTCCTGGGGTGGAGGAATAGCTGTTGTGATTCAAGCTTGTGGTATTGGTAGTGGGCCTGCACCTCCATTGTGTCCTAAAACTTTCTTTTTGGGCTCTAGCTATGCATGTTGGTCACCTTACCCATCCTTGGGTCAAAATGTCGTTCATGGGAGTGGCTCTGGGAATGTGATTCTGGGGATTCACGGGAATGGGAGCTCCATCTTTTATTGCGTTCACCTAGAAGGTGAAGCATACAAGCTCCTTTTTTCAATTCTTGATGAAACTGAGTGAAAGGACTAACCATTGACGCCCATGCTGGCGAATACCAAGAGCACAAAAACCAAGCAGAAATATGTAATCTTTATAATGGCTGGTGCTTTGGGAGCCATTCAACAGCAGCATATATAAATACTCACTGCTCATCGCATGACGGAAGTACAGCTGAACCAGTCGACCCTGTGGTATGAAATTTGTAGCTAATCCTTCCAGTCTTCAGGATTAGCATAAAAACATCCCGTTACTGGAAGTTGATAGTTTTAACAGTAGGCAAGTACGTCCGGACATTAAAAATATGATTGTACGTACAGTCACGCCAAATTATAATCCTACTAGTGTAGAAGGATAATCACGAGGGCATCTGTGACGTCTAAATACCCGTACTACTAAAATGTGATCACAGTGCATAACGGTATTAATTCTTTTGTTTTACACTAAATTTACTTGTAGCACTATCACCTGTGTCGATTAGGATCATGTTTATGAATAAATCCGCTACAGCCATGTTCTCGAACATTGTGGATTACGTATCCCCTATAGAGGATCAACTGTGATCACGGCCAATTATCCGGAGTTTACTGTACGACTGAAGAACTAGTCTTCGGTAAAACCTAATTTTGCATCTTGAGGGACACATACATGTGGATTTGGTGCAGCTAATGAATGTTTTGCAAAATCTTACTCTCACCGGTTATAACTTTGCCAAAGTCATTCAACTAGATACAGTAAAGCAGGTAGACCATGGGAAACAAACAAAAAATTTTTGCTTCAACATCGTGTAACCATAACTGTTTTTGGAATTAGTTTCGTGGGTAGACGAAAAATTACACTTGTGCAATCAAAAGAGCCCAACGGATCGAACTGCCTGCGAAGGAAATTAATTTGGAATACCATCTGTCTTATTTAGGCGGTTTTTTATTGAACACAGTGCAATATTCTCTGCTTTTTGTTACTGAACAGCTGACTTTTTCTCATGAAACTGGCAATAGGCATTTCTTGTCTCAAAATTTTCATAACTAAAGACTTAGTGGTTACCTGCTAATCTCTTTTGACAGTGGGTTATACAATTGCCATAGCAGCTCATCTTTGCGCGTTATTTACCAAATCTAACAAGGGAACCGTGTCGAGTCGAAGTGGCCTTTCCAGATGAGACCCATACTGCTTTGAAGAGCATTAATCGTTGATTCCAAATCTGCTTTCCAAATCTGCCAAGCGCCACTGGACGCCGAGTTATGCTCGTTTTTCAGGTCAAAAAACGCAAAACTGCAGCAAAATCGCCCAAATCTGCTCAAATGGTCCAGTGTCAAGTATCAGAGCTGTTTATGCAATGGATACATTTTATTTAAAACTAGCCGGCGATCCCGGTTTCACTCGGGACTCCAGTTTAGCTAAAAAGAAGTTACTTATACTTATGCTTTTAAGCTTATTCTGCGCAAAAAGGCTGAAACGAATTACCCGCTTTTCCCGACATTGAGATTAAAATGAGCTTTACCATCCCCTGACTACATGATCATAGCAAAATGATTGGTTTGAGCATGTCAAGCCTCATTTTCCCAGATGTAAGTAAACAAATCAACAAATCAATAGAAGGGTCTAGTAAATCGCCGCAAAAAGTAGCCTATGTTCCGCGCCGGGGTCCAAAACATAAGCGTGCAAAGTTTTAACTCATTTGGTCCACTCAGAAAGATTTGTATATAAAACATACTTATTAACAGACAAACACACTTTGAGTTTTATATATATAGAGATGCTAATACTCAACATTGCTTTATTTGAGCGCTAGATTGTAACAGTTGATTTTACATAAATTTTGCATGTAACCGGGGGTGTCTAGTGGTATAACGGTTTCAACCGGATCGATAGACAACACGGATTGAACGACTAACAATTTATCTCAGAAAAACGGCAACAAACAACAAGAACAATAATGCGTAACGTGAACAAATCTTACAACGAAACGACGGGCTTTACCCTCTTGACCACTTCGGCAGGTTTACTAGGAAGAACTCTCTATCTAAGGGGGAGATCCGCCTCTCTTCGACGGAGTTAGCTCCCCCTAGCGCTTCTCCAGCGCGGACTCCGAGACTCCCCCTGACTTCCGGTATTTATACCCTGCCGAAGGGGTCAGCGCGGGCTTTGTTTCCCGCCACTGAAGATCGGTAGGTCGGTGATCCGCGCCCTCTGACATCATTTTTCGTTTCAAAGTACGGTCATATCTCGGCGTCCAGAGGCGCTTGGCAGATTTGGAAGGCAGATTTGGAATCATCGCTTAATGCTCTTCAAAGCAGTATGGGTCTCTTTTGGAAAGGCCACTTCGACTCGACACGGTTCCCTTGTAAGCAATAGTGAGCAATCGATCATGCAGTACTTACCCTAATTTCACGCGTATAAGGCGCACTTTTTCGATTTTTCAAGCGAGCCGCTCAGCCGCTTTACTGTATTCCGGCGAGAGATCTTTAAACCGCACGATTCTCTTAAGCAATATATAGCACGTTATAGGGTCTCTTGGTTGTAAAGTTCCTTGGCTTGTCTGGGCTGGTCGGTTTTGGCAAAGAATCCCCCGCGCCTTATGCGCGTGAAATTAGGGTACATGAAATCTATAATTCCCTTTTGTTTTAGGACACGATCTTTTTCGCCTTTTGTGCTCGATTTCTGGCCAAGACAGTGAAAAGGAAATCATATATGTTTCAATTGGGGTTCTGAAGAATTCGAAGAACCGTTAGGGAAGGTCAAGGTTAGGAAGAATGGTATATTGCAAATCCTAAATTAAAAAACATCAATTTTGCAATAACTTTTGAACTGGCTGTCAGATATGCATTTTTCATAACCGTAGACCATCACTTTCCATTATTTTTCATTACCATACACGATGTAATCTTTAGCACGAAAATATCTTGACATTTAGTAGCTCCAGTTATGCAAACGAATCATAATTACTGATTCAAAGGCTGGCTCCTCCACAAAGGTAATAAATTAACAATTCATTGCACTATCAGAACGCCTTTGAGTATATAATCATGATTTTATAAAATAGGAATAATTTAGCAAACAATAAATACGAGCTGGACAAGATCACATTTTGCCCACGGTGACTTCTTCACTGAAGCGTGCTCCGTAGTTCAATGACAACTTCTGCATGAAAGTATTCTTCACAATGTTCCACTTGTATCGATTGTTAGCCGCATTGCGTATGGTTACTTTTAACGGCCTAGTATACGGTGCAAATGCGAAATCTCCTAAAATTATCATGTAGACAAGAAGGTAATTCGAAGAATCAAAGATTTATAGAACCCAGAAAACCTACCGGTTCCACCACCAACAGCGGTCTGTGCCAAAGCGCCTGCTTCGACTTTTCCGTAAAGGGGTCCTACACCTCTCAGGTTGTTCGTGGGGTTTTCTACCTGTAAATATTTTTGATTTCAAAGGGAATGGTGAGCATATGAAAACAGTTTACCTGAATTGGAGCAAAGTCATTTGTCACTTCGACGCCATACAGAGGCATATTCGCAGCTGTTAGTGCTTCGAATACCTATACACTTACAGCAGTGACTCAAAAAATCTTTTTCGTCAAAAATACCCTACCGCGGCTTTGATCTCAGCATTTGCCCTTTGCTTGGCTAACATTGTATCATTAGATTGCCCGACAAAGTACCATACTGGATAATTGTCGCTACTCTAAAAATTAAGCGATTTGTAAAAAAGACTGCTTGGTAGATTCTGAACCTTTATAGGGAAATAAGTCCATCCAATAGGTGGACTGATGTCCATACTGAGCACAGGATCTTCTATCCATTCATAGTCGTCGTTACCAAACCCTAGAAATTTTTCCAAATTTGAGAATTTGTGACAAATTTGTGATGCACTTACCAGCAGAACATCCGCGCGCTACAGATAAGATGGCTGTTCCCAAGACGAAAGAAAAGAGTTTTCTCATTTGAAATGTAGAGGGTGAAACTGAAGGAACGCGGCATTTATATGTGTCCCTGCCTGGTTGTAAAACCATGCTTTTGCTTAGCTTCAACGGGGTCGTATACGTAATGGGTTACGATTATTTGTTTAAAGTTGTATCGACGATGCTGGTCACGGCTCGGTCCTTGATGCAAAATTGACGGCAAAATTTCCACGTACTCTCTTTAAACCTGGGCATGACGTATCGAATATTTATAGTGTTGTACTGCCAACCAGGTTTTGTGGTGGATCTTTATTATTGATCTTACTTTTCGGCAAATATCGTCTTCTTCAGAGGTCTCTAGTCCACCATGGAGTCAGTAGTCTGCACGAATGTGACGGACATCACTGAAGAAGACGATATTTGTCGAAAAGTAAGGTCAACAATAAAGATCCACCACGAAATCTGGTTGGCAGAACAACACTCTACAATATTTGACGACAATGTTCAGACGAAAAGGAATTACAAGGAATTACACGAATGAATTCCATAGTCGCTTTCAGAACATGTGTACTGCGGCTTGACCTCGAGCTTTTCGGTTTATGAGATTCGCTTGAAATTTTATCTCGTCATTTTCATAAAATGTGAAATGCCTAGAAACCTTTTTGATCTCTCTATTTTTGCAAAGTGTGGAAATAAACGTACAGTGCATAAAAATATATTTCTAACAGAGTTATTTTTTAAAGGAAGATATTTTTTGTTTTTTATTTCGTAGGATTTTATTGACCTTCGAATTTTTTACAATTTTCTCTTTCCATTTGAGTTTTTTAGCTTTCTCAAAAACTTTATTATCTGGAAAGTTCACAATCACAAACTTTACTCATTTGGAAGGAGAGGTTAAACTCATATTACTGACTGCTTCGGAGTTAACTTCAAAACTTCGAACGACTTAATTTTCGAAAACTAGCTAGACTAATTTTTTCGGTACCGACTCTAATTCCTATTCTCTTACTGAGAAGCCGCTCAAGCGCTAGTACATAGGCTTGTTTTCTTTTCTGAAAAAGTTGGAATCATGCATAACAGTGAGGCGACAAAATTCTACAATCTTTTGGGATGAACCTGGTGCAGAACTTTCACACCAACCCAATATTTTGGATGAAGGAGGCATCGTAGGAGTCGTTCTGAAGCTTTGTTTCATCTTTAGACAGATAATTTTCTACAGGACGTTGCTCCCTAACGAGTATTTTCGATCTTCTCGACTAGCTAAAAGTATAATTCATTACACGCACAGACTGGGCCCCGTTGCGTTCCACTGAGATAGTTCGTGCATAGCAGAGGTAGCAGACGGCAGAAACATGAAAGAGCGCACGATTGGGAGACGTCAGGAGCGTCCTCAGTGACATTTGTCCCAAGCCACCTTCAATTGAGACTACTCACATTCAGTGTTCGAGTTCATGAGTTCATATATGTGTAACCACAAATCAAAGGAACTTTTATTACAAACCGTGAAACTACAAAAAACAAGCAATGAGGGACAAATAAGCAGAACAAAGCCGACCGATTAGCGAACACTTGTTAACTATCGAGCGATAGTTGATGAGCTCTAAGAGAGTGAACGGTCGTTCAAATGGCATCGATGCAGGAAGCGAGATCGTTAAGGTCCTCGTATTGGTACTCCGAAATCTGCGGCTGTCCCACTGGTGCGAAGGCATTACCGATCGTTGAGTACTAAAAATGATCGTTTTAGGTTTTTTGAAGTTCATCTACGAGAGGGTAGATGAAGATCCTAGAGCCTAGATCTGAAGGCTTGAGAGTAATGAGAGTACGTTGCAAGTGGACGCTGCACGAGATCATACATTAGTCAGTCAAAGCGCGCTACCACAGTTTTTGTGCAGTCGGAGATCCTCGCTACCTTAGTCGCAAATGAGTAAAAATCTGATCATTCGTATTTACTCAATGATTTCCATTTTCAAACAGAACTCGGATTATTGGAAGACAGACTTTAAACTAATACTGATTCTGTTTATTCGGAGATTCATTCGATCAGTGCAATGCCAAATTGACCGAGACGGGTAGTCTGTCTCCTATGCTTTTCGGTCAGTTGGCTTTCCGTCGTACTCGACTACGAATTTTTTCAACCGAAATTTCTGAGGTGTCTGCAACTCTGAATGTATTCCAGGTGCTCGATATATTATTCTTAATCACGTGTTTAAATGATTTATCCGGATGTCTAGCCACTCGAATAATTATTCGAATATTTAATCGATATTCTACCCTTACTGTTCGATTTTCGATTTTTGAATTTTATCCGGTATTCTGTAAATTCTGGAATTCGAAAATTGAAATTTTTGATTTGTAGATTTCGACTACTTATGTGTTTATTCAAAACTTTTGACTTTCGAAATCATTTATATTCATTCACTCGAAAAATCTCGAACTTCCCGAAGTATAGTATCTGCAGGCGGACTTGTCCGTGGGCTGAACTTCAAGCCACGTTGAGATCACCTGCTGAGAGGCTTACACACTAGATTTGAGTGATATTGCACACACTGTCCGTCTTTGGCGTCTCCATCTTAAATTCTAGGAGCAGACACCCTTTTAGGTAAATGTTTTCGGTGTTTTCAGGTTTTCTCTTCTTTTTAGATTTCAATCTCCACAAACTAATGTAAGCGACGACAATAGGTCACTTTTTTGGGAATTTAGGATCGCCAGTAAAGGATAAGTACGCTAAAGATGGAAGTTGTCTGCAATATACACATGGATCATATGAAATGATTCGGCAGGAAATAAAGAGCATATCATAAACCACGAAGTGGAAATTTTTCTGTTTACGTATTTTATCCATTGAAAGACACATAAACTGAAAAAATCGTCGGTCCCAGCACGAAACACAGCAATAATACTATCATTTCCTTAGTATGGATAATGCAGATAGACGATATCACCGTAGTTATCTACGTAATGCGCTTTGAAATGCAGCTTTTACGAGCTATACTAGCACAAAATATTACGGCTATATTTATTCATAGTTGTGAAAAATGGTGCAGTCAAATGTGTTACTTCATCCATCTTTCTCTTTTATGGCCATATTCAAAGTCATAGAATTAAGAATGTGAATCTTTTATGGAGAAAAAGCTCATATAAACATTGTAACACTTGTGTCTGCACCATATAACTGCCTTGATTGCCTTGTTCTTCATTCTTACTGTGCAAGGTGAGCTGCGTTCTAGGCTCAAGCAGAAGTAAATCTTTGAATCCCATTAGAAGTCTCCATTCCTTGTAGCAGCGCTTGCTTTTGACGATCCATGGAGAACTGTGGATGAGGAAAACGATGCTATGATGGCCGATCCGCTAGGACCATCATTTGAAAGCGGTTCCGTCATACACAGAACACCAAAAATTGTGAAGCACGAAAGAATTACGGTCATTAAACATCATCCTATGCACGCTGCAGGTACATTTCCACACGGTTTGACACTTTTCATTTACTGCCTTTTGTTACAGTTTCTCGACGTTTTTTCAAACACATACCGCAAATATTGCACAACGAAGATCTAATGGATGGACTGGCAAGAAAAAAGAGATCAGCTCAACAAAACTGAGTGGAACGCAGTGATTGTATGACTTTGAAAGAAATGAATGGTTCTATTCAAATTTTTTGATGCATAAGGTGACCACCTCAATCTTGAAGTTGGTTTTGTAAACCGAGCGAGTTTTAAGGACCGTCCAGCTATATGGGGGCCAAAACGATGTATCAAACTTTTGTCCTGTGATAACTCTCTTCTATAGAAAGCTTTCGCCTTTCCTCAAAAATTAAATTGCATGCCTTCGAGAAATTACAGATGTGCCCCAAAAGTGAATATTGTTTGGACTCCTTCCCAAACTAAGAAAACTCCCTATATATGAGAAAATGGTTGGGTGCTCAATCCATGAAGAACTATGAAGAAAAAAACGATATGGTTGCGTGCTCCCTCCAAAAAACATTTTGAAAAAAAAGCATTTTTGAAAGGAAGAGTAAGCTCGGTGACCTTGTCTGTGTCTGCGTCATAGACCAACGCAAGATCTATCTACGAAAAATTAATGTGGAAAAAGCTAAATTGAAGCGAAAATGAAAGGACAGAAAAAAATTATTTCTAGAGTTTTCTCGTTTTGATAAATAAAGCCTTGCGGTATTGCCAACGCATAAGATATCAAGAGCTAAAGGTGATATCTATTTGCCGCGTGTAAATTTGAAACAACATAGCGAGGTAGCGCGCGACAAGTGGAGGCGCAGGCGAGCAAAGCAAAAACAGCAGAAACTGCGTGGCTTTGGTTGTGATCTTAGATTCTAGCGCGTTCCAAAACCATTTGATCTTGTACATCATTCTGATCGTTCCAGGGCGATTGGAAGTCATGACAACTCGCCGAGCTTGAAAATCACTCTTCAAAGACAAGCCGTAGATTTCTGTGCGGCTCTTTGCTCTTTCGAGCTCGATTTTTAGCTTTTAGCAAACTACATCACTCTCACCAGATTTCCAGAATATCTAGTATAAACCGATTATGAAAATAAAAGTTCAATAAGGCTTTTAACTATGCATTCTTACGAAAACGTCTTTTTTTAGCACTAGGTTCAAAAACAAGATAATATTCCAGGATTTTGCCACGCTCTATCCTTCAATCATTTTGATGTGGTTTGAGCTTATTGTTAGCATCTAGGACTTCTTCCCATATGTTATTCTCCATACAGTTGTAGATTGTGCTTTTCTTTTGTTCAGAATTAAATTAACTAGGGTATATGACTCTATGTATCGAAAAGCGACTTCAGCTTAGACTTTTACTGAAGCAAAGCGCTGATCACTCTTCGTTACTGTAAGATTACGGTAGCAGCTTCAAGCTTCATTGTGGACTAGCCGTGTCAAAGCCTCCTCCGCGCATAATTCCGCCATTTCGGGCGTAGCTATTGCTCTAGATTCTACCGCATTTTCCTCAGCAAGCACGCTATACCAAACGGGAAATTATGAAGAAATCAGCAGAGCAGATCGGATATCGAAAAATTTGGCCGCGAGTCTAAGGGAATTTGTCTATGAACTCAAAACTCTACAATCTGAAAATCCGACTTCCGTAGCAGGATCAACGAAGAGTTAGAAGTTAGTTAGTTACAGTCACCTCACCGTATCTCTCCAAGAAGACCCTGTAATCCTCAAAGACCACGATTTTCGTAAAGAGCGTGTTCGAAAACCTCTATAAGCGAAGTTTCCCTACAATTCAAGAGCATCAACATTTTGACCAAAATCCATCGGCGAGCTTCCGGAGCGTAAAACGAGAAAAAATGGAATAACCCGAACATATCGGAAAACTTGCCCGTAGAGGTTATGCGACCTGCTGATTTCGAAACTCACATCTGCTTAGCAAGATAGCTTCGTATCCTGTAGATATGGCGAGTAGAATTTGGGACGACAAGATTTTCCCACAATTCACTCGCCGTTCTACTTCCTTTAAAAAGAAACCTGCGGCTAATATTTAGCACATTATAATCTACAGAAGAAGTGCTATCGAAATATCCTTGCTGGAATGTGCTCGGGACAATGCTTGCTGCTTTACACCTTCGCGAAAAGACGTCCTCAGAAAGATTCAAGAGTACTGAAATCGAAATATCAAGGACACGCTGTATATGAGAAGATTCGCCTTGATGAGCTGAGCAAGGCGCTGTTTTCGGACTAAATATATACTTGTTCCGAAGGAAGTTATGGCGAGTAGAATTTGAAAACGCGTGATTTTTCCAAAATTCACCAACGCTTCTATCTCCTTTGAAAAGAAGTCTGAGCCTACTTTTTAGCGCACAATAATCTACAAGAACAGTATTATCGAATAACACTTAGTAAAGTCTACTATGTTGGGTAGGCGTTGCTTCACATATTCGCGAAAGGACCTCCGCAGAACAAATTGAAAGAACTGAAAACGGAATATCGAAAACATCGTACCCCCACCACCAATACATCAGAAGATTCTCTGCGCCGAGCTGAATCGAATAGTGGCTTTGGATTCAGAATTCGTCCACTCTGAAGCGAGATATGGCCACGCGACGCTGATGTATGGACATGTCCATACATGTATGGACATGTACGGACATGTACGGGCATGTCCATACATGTACGGACATGTCCATACAGGTATGGACATGTCCGTACATGTCCATACAGGTATGGACATGTCCGTACATGTCCATACATGTCCATACATTCGCGTCTACTTTTCAAAAAATGTGAGCGGTATTGTACTGTGCCACTATTTTGGGATTTCCGAGTTTTCAGTCTAGTACCAATCGCCATTATTCTACTTTCGTTGTTATCATCTTGCGCAACATTCCTACCTGCAAAATAGATGCTCAGTTTCAAGTGAATTCTGATAGCAATCAAATTATTTCTGACTTGGAATAAGCTGACCTTGACTCCGTTGTAAATTTAGGAGCTTTCTACGCATTGCAATATTCGATAAAATGACACTTAATCGGTTTGCAAGACATTTCCATACATCTTTATTTTTCAGTGTGTAACTTGCATTTACAATCAGTCACTTACTACCCGAGCGTACGCTAAGTTCAAACCTATCTCTTCATATAATTCAGAATAAAGCAATCTTTATGTGGAAATATCGAAAAGGAACTGTCTTTTGACTTTTGTACGTGTGCGAAATTACAGTATCTATCATGCCAAACTCTCCACGGAGGCTGCACGTCAGGAAATACGCCGCGCGCGGCAACCGCTCTTCGCACCCGCCGCGTTCAAATCTTGGGGCCTCCAAAAGTCTCCGCCAATAGAGATTCCCGGCGGCAAAAACAGGGGTTGAGGATGGGGGCAGATACATGACTTGATGCTATAAGTAGGCCTGCGCCAGGAGCGCTGGTATTGTAAAGGCTGAAGTAAGTTGCGGCGTCGCTTCGCGAAAAATTCGCGCCGACCGTACCTCCTGACCGTCCCGCCTCCACGGACAGGGCTCGGCACTAGATGCTATGGAAACGAAATCGCAGACTCCGCCGTAAAAATACCATCCCCTATGTCACGCTTATGAATAAATTAAACATAGAAAACAAAGAAAAATAGAACTGAACACAATACGACGTTGAAATCACGGAGAAAAAAACCAGTGATGTTTGTATTTTTCAAACTGGCGGCATGCTGCGTCCGCCGATCAGCACCGCTCGCTTGGAGCAGGCTTGCCGCAACCATGCAAAATTTTTGGAGGGCTGTAAGTAGGCCGGGAGGAGGGTGTTTGAGGAGGTTGGAAAAGTTCTTTGTGGGGCCTTAGACGTAGATCAAATTTTAGAAGGAACGAAAAAATTATGTGAGGAACGAATTTATGACTATCTTTCCACAACCACAGGCTGTTCAGGTGGCTTTCCAGCCACCTAACTCCGAAAAAAGTTTGTCACGCCTTCACCAGTTCAGTTCATATAACTTTTTCATAATTTGTCATACATAGTTTCAGCTGTCTACTGCAATCTGCACGCCAATTTTGGAGTCCTATCGTTCCGTTTTCGCTGTAAACAGGTTTCTTGTTTGTTTTTTGGGCAAATTTTTGAATTCCTGCGTTCACACGGAGAGCATATTGTAGCGAAAAATTGGTTTTGAAGACGGGGAGGGGGAACGATTTTGCAAATTGTAACTGAAATTTGTATGGCTCATGTGACAATAACGATAGTATGAGTTTTGTTTGTCAGGGGAAGCGCCGCAAAAATAATTTGCTGGGTTGATGGTCATGAAGTTAGACAACTCTTCGAAGTTTTTTACTCGGATAAATCTCCCATAGAAAGCCGTGATTAGATAGTTCTGTAAAAAAAATTTTTTTACCAATTTTGACGATTTCGCACAAATTCTAGTTTTTTCAATTTTTTTTCAATTTTTTCCTCAATTTTCAATTTTTCAGTTTTTTCGGTTTTCACTTCAAATTTCAATTTTCACGAATTCTAGTGTTCACAAGTTCTAGTTTTTTTTTTCAATATGAAATTTACTACAATTACAAGCGACACTGTGCAGCAAGTCTCTGGATGTAATTCGAGATACACATTTTAACAACTTTATGCAAGTTCAAATGCTTTTACGAAGAGAATTTTTAAAGAGATACAAAGCGCATTCTCCCTGATCAATTGAGTAGAAAACCGAGATTCGCATCACTCTCTTCTGCTTGGGGAACTTGCTGTGCTGGCGGTGCATTTTCAGGTCCTTGTTCAGAAGATATTCCTTCAACTGCTAACGCTTGCTGATCCGGTTTCGGTGGGCACGCGCAGGCGCAATCCTTCTCTGAGCAGGCGAGGGCGCAATCCTTCTGTGGGCACGCGCAGGCACAATCGCAAGGGTCAGAAGTAGTTCCAGCTTCCGTGTTCTGAAGCCCTGCTTGGCGTTTACCTGTAGATGCTCATATCAGAAACGGACTTTATCACTAATACATAGAAGCTAAAGATAATTACTCACCTAGCTTAGCGGCTACAGCTGCAGAAATCAGCAGAGCAGAGAAAAGGAAGATGAGTGAAGATCTCATGGTGCTGCTGCAAAGGCAGTAACAGAAGTATAAATACGCGATTCCCCCCACTAAAAGTACTACTGTGCTATTGATATATCCTAATAAGTAGACTATTACACTAGGATAATCTTGCAG